TTTCCCATGGTATATTTCCCAGGGTGTATTTCCCAGGGTGTATTTCCCAGGGTGTATTTCCCAGGGTATGTTTCCTAGGGTGTATTTCCCAGGGTGTATTTCCCAGGTATATTTCCCAGGGTGTACTTCCCAGGGTATGTTTCCCAGTGTGTATTTCCCAGGGTGTATTTCCCAGGGTGTATTTCCCAGGGCACATTTCCCAGGGCACATTTCCCAGGGCACATTTCCCAGGATGTATTTCCCAGGTATATTTCCCAGGGTGTATTTCCCAGGTGTATTTCCCGGGGTGTATTTCCCGGGGTGTATTTCCCGGGGTGTATTTCCCAGGGTACATTTCCCGAGGCGTATTTCCCGGGATGTTTTATGTTGGAAAGGTAGAGGCCATTTGGTGCTTCGCATCATTTTTTCCCACCAATGTCATCATGGCACCAATGACATCTCTGTCTTAACTCCACTGACCTGCTTTGGTTCTCCAACCCTTAGTTTTTGCTACCCTGATGCACTTTGTATGGTACAATCTGCCTGTGTAGCATGCAAAACAACAGCTTTCACTGTATCTTAGTAAAATGTCACAACAACAAACCAGTCTATCAATGTGCCATCACAATTTAACCCTTTCAACCCCGCGATGAATCTGGGGACTGTGTGTTGGACCCTCTACCAGGCCAGCATCTCATCCCTGAGAAGCAGGATCCGGGACTGAACCTAGTGACTCCCAACAGGCTCCAAGTGGGGCTGGATACACTTGTAACTGAACAAGATCAGTCTTGATGATCAGCTCAACACCAGCTTGCACCATAATGTCCACAGGAACTCCTTGTAGGATTGAGAACCACCTCCAATCCTCACCTCCACAGCCCTGAGTAATCAATATCTTAGGTAAATTAGGGGTAAAGCAGCAAAGATGAGAATCTAAGATGATTGTGACCAAACATTCCAGAGCTCCTGAGCTCCCAGTGCTGCACCTATAACAGCAACTGTACTCCTACCTGATTGTCGAGCCAATCTCCTCCTGAAACAATATAATCATCTTTGTCCAATGTTTCATCGATGAGTGGTATTTCTGGATAATAATATTCATCTCCATAGACGTCATAATAACTCGTCACCAATGACGGGTAAGCTTCTAAAGTTGTAGTTTCTGGGACGTTGGTTGTTGGCTCCTCATAGGCATCCTCACCTTCAGTTGGGCTCTCCTGAGTCAGTGAATAAAAACATTAAACAAAAACCAAACAACTGGAGATGCTGGAAATCAGAAACAAAATCAGAAATTGCTGGAAAAACTCAACAGGTCTGACAGCATCTGTGGAGAGAAAGCAGAGTGAACGCTTTCCGTCTGGTAACCTTCTTCAGAGCTGATTGTAGCTGGGTAAAAGTTGGTATATTATGCTGACGATAGGTTGGGTGAAAGGCAACAGTGTAAGCCAGAGGAAGACATGAATGACACACAGAGACAGAAACACAGTTGGACAGTTAGTATCTCAGTGTGCCAGTATCTCAGTGACCCAGTGTCCCAGTGCCCAAGTATCTCAGTGCCACAGTGTCCCAGTGCCCCAGTGTCTCACTACCCCAGTATCTCACTGACCCAGTATCTCACTGACCCAGTATCTCACTG